AGCACTTGATGAAGGGTAAGTACCAAACTACCCTAGAGATTATTTGAAAGCTGTCATACAGCTTTTGTTATGCAGCATCATTATTGCTTTTGTTATGCAGCATCATTATTACTTGTGTGAGACACAATTCTTAAAATGGACTCCCAGGTTTGCTATCCTAATATCTGAGATTATGAATGTAAGATACCACGCCAAAGACACTTTACATGGCAAAAGGACTTTGCAAATGCAATTACAATTACTAATCAGTTGACCCCAAAATAGGGACATTACCCTGGACTTTCCTAGTGGGCCTAATCTAATAGTAAGAGAACTTTAAAAGCAGATCCCTCCACCTCCCATCTCCCACACCCTGTTGCTGGCTGCAGAAAGGAGTTACACACATAGAGATTTCTGTCAAAACTTGGAAAGATTAGTCACGCCACGCCTGACTCTGAAGATGGAGGGGAATTACCTGCAAAAACTGGAGAGTGACCACAAGTCATTGAGAGCAATTTCAGGCCAACACTCAAGCAGGAAACAAGAATTTCAGTCCCATAACTGCAAAAAATTGAATTCTGCCAACCAACAGCAACAAACTCAGAAGAGAACCCTGAGTTCTAGAAGAAAACATTTTAGCCTTGTGAGATCCCAAGCAAAGAACTCAGTCACACCAGACTTGTGACCAACAGAATTTTGAGATGAATGTTTCTATACACTGGCAAATTTGTGGTAATTTGTTATGCATCCAAAAAAAAAAAAAAAAAACCACTTATGCTTTCTATTTACAATGATTATCAAACAGAATGCCCTACATATATACCTGGACCCAGTATATTTATGAGGGATGAGTGTTAATAGCCCCACTTATCAATACAGTAAGAGAACTAGCCAAATTTTAATGTTGTTTCATCTATATACTTTACTGACATTTAGTTGACAGTAGCTATTCAATCACCAAATATTTGCTAGGTGTCTGTATGTACCAGGTGCTGGGAATATAGCAGTGAACAAAACAGACAAGAATCCCTGCCCTTATGGAGCTTATATTTAGTAAAAATGTTTGTGGACAAGGGTTCAATAAGTGCCATACTTTAATACATGTTGAACACTTCTATTGGTAGCCAAGCTTCCTTAATGCTAACTGCAAAAGTATAGAAAACTTTGGCATTTTTACCCCAGCATCCTATACTACAATATCAGTAAGCCATCTTAACCCTTTTGGGCCACAAATTCTCAACTGTAAAATTGAACTAATAATATATTACTTTTACTTTAAAAAAAGGTCATTTGTAAAAAATTAATTATACACATAGGTTGAAAGAAAATGACAGATGTACACAGTATGATCCCATTTATATAAGGTTTAAAACACAGAAAAAATTAACCAATACTGTTTAGCATTGTATACATAAGAAGTTATACTGTTTTTAGGAAAACAGGAAATAGATGCAAAAGTCAGGACAGTGGTACCTCAGAGGGAAAGAAGTGCGTTTGTGAGCTGAGGGGGACATGTGGTCGTACTAGGTTGGAGGATGCTAGCAGTGTTCTAGTTCTTAACCAACCTGTGTGATGATTATATAGGTGTTTCTTTATAATTAGTTGTTCAACTCTACATGTTCCAACTTTTCCAAGCATGAATTATGTTTCATTCACATCCCAAAAAATGCTTTATAAAAATCAATGACTAACACAATCTGGGGGGGTGGTATTTTTCATTTTCAAAATATAAAAGTTCGATGGCTCCTAAAATTCCACCTATCTAAATTAGGTCAGAAGTCTAAATTGTTGGACAAAATAACAGGAAAATGGAGGGAATTCTACTTTGGAACAATCAGTAACACAGTCCTTTACTTTCCAAATTAAAATTTAAGGTAATGCCCTGGCCACGGTAACTCAGTTAGTTGGAGCATCGTCCTGTACACCAAAAGGTTGTGGGTTCGATCCCTGCTCAGGGCACATGCCTGGGTTGCAGGTTCAATCCCTGGTCGCAGGGTGCATATGGGAGGTGGCCAATCAATGTTTCTCTCTCACATCAGTGTTTTTCTCTTCCTTCCTCTCTCCCTAAAGTCAATGAGCATGTCAACTGGTGTGGCTGGGCATCATCGCACAAAGCACAAAGTCACCAGCTCAACTCCTGGTCAGGGCACATGCCTGGGTTGCAGGTTCTGTCTCCATTTGGGGCACATACAAGAAGGCAACCGATGACGTTTCTCTCTCACATCGATGTTTCTCTCCCTCTTTTTCTCCCTCCCTCTCCCTCTCTCTAAAAATAAAAATACAATCTTAAAATAAAAATAAAGTCAATGAATATATTCTTGGGTGAGGATTTAAAAAAAATTTTAAGATGCGAGATTATACTTTAAAATTTGCTGTTTTTGCAGGTATTTTTTTTTTATTTTATGAGGAGAAAAGCCATGACCAGGCCAAGAATAACTGGGCCATCTTAGATGGATCAAGCAATGCATATCTTAGAAATAGTGACTGAAAGAGGCCTTTCCAGGTAAGTCAGCTATTTCAAAACCATTTACAAACCAACCAATTAAGTGTATATTCTGTACAATAATAAAAAACATATTTACCCTTTCCTTTTTCTTTACCTTATTTTCCCTTTTCTTATAATCTATCACCAATTCCTTCTCTCCTCTGCTCATTTTAGTTAATGAGCACCTTAGCACTGGCCTAGCCATTCTCATTAACATTTTTTCAATTTTTATTAAGATACCTATCCAAAAACAATCCACAAAGATCCATATAAAGAGTTACGAGGCTAATTCAATAATAAGCTCTTCAATGGCAGAAATCCCTATCAAATTATCCTAAGATATACTGGAAAGTATAGGGAATTAGATGTTATAAATCTTTTATTCAAGTCTGTGCTCCATCAGGTACTACCTGCATGACCCTGGGCAAGTTCCTTCATCCCTGAATATCACTTTCCTTATCTGTTACATAAAGACAATCTAATGGGTTTGTTTGAGGTAGCAAATAACATTTAAAAATGTAAAAGATCTTTGCAAAGTATGAGGCCTTCCAGAAACATTACCATCATTTTATGTATCATTAGTGCCTAGAACACAGGTAGCCTAACAAAGGTTTCTTACTAACAATTACAATTGTAAAGGCAATGAATTAAATGTCTTCCTGTTGGTCTAAAAGAACTCCATTGTTCTTAAATCAACATTCAGCTTAATATTAATTGAGTAAGACATTGAGAACAAGTTGAATCATACTATCTTCTGGAATTCAAGTGTTTCTAAAGAACGTAAGTCCCATATAATGAGGGCAGCCATCCTTTAGCCCTGGAAGGTTGCTGGATAGGGCAGCAGACTTTGAAAGAACTTTGAACCTCCATACACATTCTGGATCACACCACATCTCACCTCACTTTTTTGGGAAAGGATTTCTAGTTCCTCCAGTGTCTATCCAGTCCTCAAAGCCTCCTTTGGGTTTCTCTCAGTGCCAGAGTTTATAAACCCTAGGTGCTAGGTTAGCATGTGGTTTATACATACATATAATATTATTATACAAATGACATTTTATTATATAACAATATTATATAAGTAATCTTATGCAATAATACATATTTATTTTTTAAAAGACTGCTGTCATGTAGAAAGGTAGGACACACCAGGTTTCAGATAGTCCTAGAGAAACCACATTATTTGCTTTTTTTTCATATGGAACTGCTAATTCACAAATATAAAGAATCCAATCAAAAAACATGTTCCTGTCTCAAGTTATTGAACTTGCCCTTGACTCCCTCCCCCCAGATATCTATAGAACTTGTTCCCTTACTTTGTTCCATCTCTGCTCAAATCTCATCCTCCTCAGAGACGCCTTCCTTGACATTCCTTGCTGAAAGAGCCACTCACATAGGTACTTCAACCATTCCTTCTACTCCCTTGTGGGTTACATGTTGTTCAGCTGACTCTGATTCCAGACTACCCTAAGAATGAGTGGTATTTTCCATGTCAGTCCTCAGAAGCCCTGCTCAGTTGCTGTAGACTCAGCCTATGGTTTCTTTTGTGCAGTCAACCCATCTCGTATTTGGTCTTCCACCTTTCCTGCTGCCTTCTATTTCTCCCAGCATTATTAGCTTTTCCAAAGAACCCTCCCTTTTCATGATATGCCTGAAGTAGTATAGCTTCACTTTTGTCACTTTTACCTCTGGTGACATTTCAGGCTTAATTTGCTTGAAGACCCACTTGTTTGTTTTTCTGGCAATTCAGGGCACCCATAGAGCTATCTTCTAACAGCGTATTTTAAGTAAATCCGTATTTTTCCTATCAGCCTTCTTCACTGTCCAGCTTTTGCATCTGTATATAGCAATTGGGAATATGAGGGTGTAGATGATCTCAACTTGGTCTCTAATGACACATCCTTGCTCTCAGTGGTCTTTTCTAATTTTTCCTTCCGAATCTCAGCATTCTCTTCATTTCTTGGCTGCAGTCTCTATTGGAATTGACCCTTGACCTGCCTAACTTTCCCTACAGTATTTACCACTACCTGTTATTAGAAGCACTGGCTTTAGATTTTTTAAAAAATGTTTATTGTCTGTTTCCCATAGTAGAGTGAAGGAGAAAGTACTGTATTTTATTCAGAAATGGAGTCCCAAAGCCTAAAGTAGCACCTGACATGTAAGTGTGAAACCAAATCCAGGTTCAGCTGCCTGCCCCAACAAAAGCCAAACTGTGGGTGCTGGTGAGAAAGAAAGTGTTTATTTGAGGGCCAGCACTGCAAGAAGAATGGGGAACCTGTGCTTACTAAATATTTGTTGAGTGAAAGGTTATCAAACATTAATGACTGTCACATATAACTGATGAACTTAGAAATGTAAGCAATAATATATTTGAAAACAGCCATACTGGAATGTTCTTCCCTTTATATAAGCTTAAACATGTTCTCACTTTTTAACAAGTTTACCAATTTTAGAACATTTATCAATGTTCATTGATGCACTTATCAATACAATATCACTATCAATACAAGAACATTAATCAATGTCACTAAAAGGATACGAGAAGCGATCATTCCATGTTGCTCTTTCGACGTATTCCAACATGACAACAGCTTTGATTGTCGTTAAAAGTTTGTTCCATGTTTCATCAAAATCTACTACTCTTGGTTTCAAAGACATTGTGCAAGTTTAGTGTTGAAATCTGTTAATTATAAACAATAGCAATGTTAGCATGAGTTCTATAAAATCAGATATTTGATTTTAAAATACTGTGTAATTAAATAGCATAGAGATGAAAGGGGTGAGAGCAGAACCTGGCACATAATAAGAACATACATAATAAACGCTGGCTATTATCTTTTTATGACTATCCATACAAGGAATTCCAAAGAATATTTGCATTCTTTACAAACTCTGGGAAATGGATAGCTTTTACTACAAATTATTCATAATCAGGAGCGTATTCCAAAGAACTAGCAGTCTCATTTAAAACATTAAGGGAAAGAAGCTGTGACCCAATTAGGCAAAAGTTATCTCCCATCATGAGAAATATGCAAGAGACACTCACTAAAATGGTTTTGGCCCCAAAACCTTAACCTGAGGAATGAGGTAGTAAATAAGGGAACACATAAGAAAATGGAAGGATTTATCTTCCTGGTGCATTAGTTTAGGTTAAAAAAAAATTAGGAAGGAAATGTATGTTAAGACAAAGATGAATTGTACGGTAAAATGCAAAATTCACATGAACCAGTAAGTTAAAAATTTCCAAGAAATATCAGGGTTGCTCTTTCTCACATTCTCAGGGTATCCAGCCCTACTACTCTAATGAAAAGTACAACTAGCAGGGAACGCTTGGCTCAGAACTTGACCAGCATGGTAGTGAGCAAAAAGACTTTAGTCCAGCAGACAAGCTGTACTCTAGGAGTTAGCTGATTTCTGGAACAAAAAGATCCCAAGGCTACCAAAACTTGCTTCAAAAGCTAGATTCAAATCCTTCTCAATATCCAACAAGAAGAACAGAATTAAAAGTAAAAATTGAATTTACAGTTAAACTTTAAAGTTATCTTTTAGTTAAATTTAAGTGCACATGGGAATACTTCTCTGGCAAGTGTTTAACATTCTTCCTAGTTTTCCCATATTACTGGGAGTGAGAAACACTAAGCCAGGCCAAAAATGGAGGGCAAATGTGTTCTCTGGTCTCTCACTGTGGGGAAGAAGGGTAAGAAAAAAATGGGGTGGGGAAGTAAGCATAAAGAGAGAAATGAAAACAAGGCAAAGAAAACCAGTTGAACACCCTAACGCACAACGTGAGGTGGCCGTTGACATTCTTATGTTTCTGGCCCATAAAGAAAAGAACTCAAGAGGAGTCCAAGGAATAGATGTAAAGGAAGAGGAAAAAAAGGAATCAAAGAGAAGCCAAGAAAAAATCCAGAAGAGGGAGTGTTAATTCATCAGTGCTTTCCTCAACATACCAGAGACTCTACCTCCAAATTTATTGTACTAACTAGAATGCATCGGTCATAATTTAACCGTGTGTGTACGAGTGCACTAGGGATTGGTGGGGGGTGGGGACAGGAATACTGGAGAGAGAGAGCACAAAGCTCTAGCTTTACAGCAGGGAATTAACCTTAAGTCCTTCTCATCCTTATCTACCACATCCTATCCAACTGTGTTTCTTGAGTATTTCTTAAATCTATCCCTTCCTCTGTAACCCTAAATGTGCTCTAGGATCAGGCCCTTGGCAGCACTAGTTTGTGTTAATCTTTCACTCATAAAAGAAATGATAACTGTTAATATTTATATAGTGCTTACTATGAGCCAAGCAATATAAACTCACTTAATCTGATTAGGTAGATCCTACCATCTCTACATTTTCTAGATAAGAAAGCTAAATCAAAGGGTGATTAAGAAACTTAAGGTCACAGAGCTATTTAATGGTGGCATCAGGATTCAGACCTGTTTTTGAGCCCAAGTTCTCAATTCTTATATGCAACTATACTGCCTTACTAACATTTTTATTAAATACTTAACTATTTTCCAGGCATCATTCTAGGCTCTGAGGATACAGCAGGCAATAAAGAAAATTACTGACCTTCAAAAAAACTAGAATAACAGATCAGGCACCCAAAGACAAAAATAACCTGCCTATACCAAAAAAGTTGAACATGTCACTCTTTTGTTTTGATGCTTTGCACTATGCACACCATTTAGTTTAATAGCTACATGGTACACCAAGTTTCCATGATTTAACCTTAGACTAGACCACCTCTCCAGCCTATTCTTATGGAACTCTTTGACATCATAATCCAGTAACTTCTCTGCTCAGAGGTCAATGAACTGATTCATACACCCTGCCTTTACTCTTCTTTTCTATATCTAAAATTTTTTTATTTCCTTACCTTCACCTTCCACCCATTCAACTAGCACTTACTGATATTAAAGTTTTGGTCCAGTACATCTTCTTTTAAGAAACTTTCCCAAGGAAGATACTTCAAGGCTTCCAGGCAAGATGGAGGTGTAGGTAAACATGCTTTGCCTCCTCACACAATTACAGTAAAAATTACAACTAGGCTACAAAACAGACATTATCCAGATTCGCCAGAAAACTGAATGTATGGAAGTCCGACAACCAAGGATTTAAAGAAGCCACATTCATCCAGACAGGAAGGGCAGAGACATACAGTATCACAGAGAGGGGGCCCAACAGGCTGCCCCATATTCACATGTGGTGGAAAAAAACTGGGAGGGTACCTTGGGAGCAAGCAACGTAAGCCCCAGACCAGGCCACCCCACCCAGGGTTCCAGCTCCAGGAATATAAGTCCCATAACTTCTGGCTATAAAAACCAGTGGGGATTGGGGCAGCAGAAGAAACTGCAGGATTCTCAGGAGACTCCTCTTAAAGGGCCCGCAAATATCTTGGACTTGCACAGACCCACCCCCTCTGGGATTCAGCACCAAGGCAAGAGCTGGAAGGCCACAAATAGCATTTCATATGGGGAGAAAGTGAAGTTACTAGCAACAGAGGGAGTGCCAGGAGACAGCTTCCTCCCGGGCAAATCTCCAGAGGCCAGGCAACAGCACTGCCCCCTCTCCGAGCCCTCCTGCACACAGAGTCACAAAGCAGTGAAATGGGTTGCCCTGCTCTGGCAATTGCCTGAGGCTCCACCCCACACAATTTACAGGTGCCTTTTCTACATTAGGCCACGCTACTAAGACAGGGAGTCAAAGTGGCTCTACCTAATACATAGAAACAAACACAGGGACGCTGCCAAATTGAGGAGACAAAGAAGCATGTCCCAAATTAAAGAAAATAAAAAAAAATCCAGAAAAAGAACTAAACAAAATGAAGACAAGCAACCCAGCACATGCAGAGTTCAAAACACTGGTTATCAGGATGCTCAAGGAACTCACTGCATACTACAACAGCATAAAAAAGACCCAGGCACAAATAAAGGCTGCCCCAAGTGAAATACAGAAAAATCTACAGGGAACAAACAGTGGAGGGAATAAACCTGAGAATCAAATCAATGATTTGGAACATAAGGAAGAAAAGAGCATTCAACCAGAACAAGAAGAAGAAAAAAAGAATTCCAAAACACAAAGATAGAATAAGGAGCCTCTGGGACATCTCCAAACGTAACAACATCCAAATCATAGGGGTGCCAGAAGAAGAAGAGGAAGAACAAGAAATTGAAAACTTATTTGAAAAAATAATAAACGAAAACTTACCTAAATTGATAAAGGAAATGGACATACAAGTCCAGGAAGCACAGAGAGTCCCAAACAAGTTGGACCCAAAGAGGTCCATACCAAGACACATTATAATTAAAATGCCAAAGGTAAAAGATAGAGAATCTTAAATACAGCAAGAGAAAAGCCAATAGTTACCTGCAAAGGAGTTCCCATAAGACTGTCAGCTGATTTCTCAAAAGAAACTTTGCAGGCTAGAAGGGACTGGCAAGAAGTAGTCACAGTGATAAAAAGCAAGGACCTACAACCTGGACTACTCTAGCTAGCAAAACTATCATTTAGAATTGAAGGGTAGATAAAGTGCTTCCCAGACAAGGTAAAACTAAAGGAGTTCATCATCATCGCCAAGCCATTATTACATGAATTGTTAAAGGAAACTATGTAAGAATAAGAAAATCAAAACTATGAGCATTAAAATGGCAACAAATTCACAACTATCAACAACTGAATCTAAAAAACAAACTAAGCAAAGAAGCAGAACAGGTACAGAATCAGAGATATGTAGATCAATTGGAGGGTTATCAGCGGGAAGGGGGTTGGAGAGAATGGGGGAAAGGTACAGAGATTAAGTAGTACAAATTGGTAGGTACAATATAGAGAAGGGAACATTAAGAACAGTATAGGAAATGGAGAAGCCAAAATACTTATATCCGTGACCCACAGACATGAACTAAGGAGGGGGAATACGGGAGGGAATGGGGGTATCAAGAGGAGGGTGGTAAAAGAGGGAAAACTGGGGCAACTGTGATAGCATAATCAATAAAATATGTATTTTTTTTAAAAAAGAAACTTTCCTGAGCCCACTTAAGCTAGATCAGTTAACCTGTCTTACATATTACATGAGAACTCTGTGCTTACCTCTACTGTAATTATCTGAGTATTTCTTCAGGGTTGGGACTACTGTGTAATTGTATAACAAAAAGTTGGCAATGTCTCCTTCACATGACTTTTCTCTCCTTAAAGAAATGGGATAATATTATACACATTGGTTAATATTATTTTAATAGGTGCAGATTAATCACCATCACTGGCTTCTCTGCTGACACCTACAGATTTATGGTAGAATAGGTACATGTGTAGTGATAATCCATTCTTGGATGAAACATATGGAAAACAAGGTGAGAGAAGCACAAACCCAGTGAAATACACTAAAATTTAACAAACCAACAGCAGGAAGTATGCTGAAATTGTCTATTAAATTCTCTGCTTGCCCAATGAGAAAGCACATATAACTAAAAAATGTAGTTCAAAATCTCGCATTACCACAATTTCCTCTAGTTTTCTTCTGAGTTACACTCATGAGATGTTGGGGTTTTTAACACTTAGACACATAGGTACTATGTCTGAGGTGGCTGAGTGTTATGGACACTAAAAATAAATCACAGGTCTAAGTATTTTTAAAAGACAAAATAAAAATTGATGTTTAATTACATTTCCAGATAACATGTCAATATTAATTATAATATTTTGAAATTTTTCCTCATATCTGAAAATGATTTGTAGATTAGATTTTCTCATTAGAGCACCATTTCTAAATACTGTCAATAATAGAAACTTTAATTACAAAAGTGATTTATATAAACAAAGAGTTACCATATGACCCAGCAATTCAAACTCCTAGATATAAACCCAAGAGAAAACAGGTTTGCACAAAAACTTGTACACAGATGTTCGCAGCAGCATTATTCATAAAGGCCAAAAAGTGGAAATAACTCAAATGTCTATCAATTAATAAATGGATAAACAGAATATAGTATATCCTTCCAAAGGATTATGCTGCTGCAATACAGGGAATAAAGCACTGACAGATGCTATAACATGGGTGAACCTCAAAAAATACTATACTTGGAGAATGAAGTTGGTCACACAAGAACACATGTTGTATTATTCCATTACAGAATAGGTTGATCTGTAGAGACAGAAAAGTGTTTTAGTGGTTGCCAACAGCTAGGGGACTTGAGGGGAAATGGAAAGAAAACTGCTACAGATGATAAAAATGTTCTAAAATTGCTAGTCATGATGGTTGCACAACTCTTTTAAGTGTACTAAAAACCAATGAATTTTAGATTTCAAATGGGTACACTGGATAGTAGTTGAAGTACATCTCAATAAAGCTGTTATATATTTAAAAACTGAAATAAAAGTTCTATCAAAAATTTTAGAGCAATTTAATGAGGGGAGGGAAGAAAAGGTACATTTACATATTTGTAAATTCTGAAATCTCAGTCTCCATTTCACTCCTGTCTCTACTCACCAGTTCTCCCCAGCAGAGGTAATACATATTGTGCCTGGGTATATTTTACACATATATATGATTTGTTATCCCCCCCTTTTATTCAATTACTTATATACATGATCTTTTTCATCTGTTCTATATAAATGGTATTGTGCTACTCAATAGTATATTCACTTAGTATATTTGGGAAGTATTCCATTATTAATACATGAGGATTTCTTTACTCTTAGTATTTTATTGTTTGCCAGTATCTAGATCCATTCTACTATGTTTGATATGACATACGAGTTCCCCAAAATTAAAATGCTTAGTTTAATATCAGTAATTTTGAGTTAAATATTTAAAAATGGACTAGTAAGCTCTTTTTACATAGACATTAACAAGGTTTCCTTATAAATATTTTGATAACAATTTAAGTACACCTGCTATACATATTTATTGATGAGAAGGAAACTGCAATATTATCATTATCTTTACCATTTATTAAATGCCTTCTGTATGCCCTTCATGCTATATATATCATATATACAAGCATTACTAATGCCCAACCTGCAGGTCAGCCATTTGGTCTGTTGAAAACTACTGAAAAAATAATCAGATTTTTTCAATAAATTATGCACACACATAAGAGACAAGGAAAGGAGAAAAAGGGGGAGGAAGAGATATATTGAGGAGGAATCAAACTAAAATAAATTTAAAAGGGTATTAATCAATCACTGTGATTGATCTTATTTGGATATAGATTTAATATTTTTAAAAAATTATATTTATGATACCCCTATTGTTTTTCAACATTGATGGGTATTTGATGACTTTAAAGAATTTTTTTTTTAAGATTTTATTTATTTATTATTTTTAGAGACAGGGGAAAGGAGGGAGAAAGGGAGGGAAAGAAACATCAATGTGTGAGAGAAACATCAACTGGTTACCTCTCACAGGCCCCCCCAACTGGAACCTGGCCTGCAACCCAGACATGTGCCCTGACCCAGAATTCAACTGACAACCTTTTGATTTACAGTGTGATGCCCAACCCACAGAGTCACACTAGTCAGGGCTAAAGAATTAACTTTTAGAATGATACTTATAAAATGAGTCTTATTTTAAGTCAGAGTTCTTCTCTGTTAGGGACACATTCTAAATTATTTATAAATGATATTAAATGTTGAAATTTGATTTAAAATTAAATAGCTTGCTTATGAATAGATAATCATTGGGGATAAGTGACAAGTACATAAGGATTTATTATACTACTCATTTTTTCTAATAGGTTTGCAATTTTCCAAAGTAAAAGGGTAAAAAAAACCCATCATGAATAGTTTCATAAATATTAGGGGAATTAAGTAGATAAAAAAATTAGAAAGCTAAGAAAAGAGTATTATCCTAATAGGTCTAATATTCAATCACTAGAAATTAGAGACAATATTATTAAAAATATCTATATCTACATAAGCATGTCCAAACCTATAGAGAATTTCTATAGAAATTTATGTGAGTTGAACAGAGGATACACACGGAAGCAATATCTCAAGAGACTTAAAAAATGTTTCAGAGAATAATATTTTGCAGGGTTTTTTAATGCAGCTGAGATTAAGGAGGGAACATAGGAATATTACATTAATGTGGGAGAAAACAAGGCAGGTATCAGATTAACTTGAAGATTATATGTCCTTTAAGATGTACAAAGTGCCTAGTGTAAAAACATTCTTGGGGATGTGAAGTACAGCATAGTATAATTATACTATTATATAATTAATTAATATAATTAATTAATAATATAATTAATAATAATAATATAATAAGTATGTATGGTGTTAGATAGGTACTCAAATTAGGGTGATCACTTCAGAAGTTATAGAAATTTCTAATCACTATGTTGTACCCCTGAAACTAATATAACATATATCAACTGTAATTGAAATTTTTAAATTGTTAATAAAAGGATTATGTGCTCTCTTAAGGGAGGGCATGCTTTACAATCAGGGGTCAGATGAATGGCATTTCAAAGGTATGTTAATCTAGATGAACAAAAACAATGGACAGGGCTTACTTTAAAGTAAAGATAAGCCTTTTACTAAAGAAGTTAAGTGGAATCTAATCGACCAAACAAATAAGCAAGAAAAATATAACCAGCAACACTGAAAGAAAAAAACAAACCCACAGTAGCCAGAGGGGAGTAACCACAGTAACAGGGTAAAGAAGAGGAAGGGTCAATTCAAGGAGTATGTATAAAGGACCCATGGACCAAGCCAAAGTGGAGAAGGATTGAGGGTCGGAGCGACAGGGGAAAGAGGAGGTGGGAAAATGGAGACAACTGTACTTAAACAATAAAAAAATAAATTTAAAAAAAAACTGAAAAAAAAAGTTATTTGCCTGGGGCATCACAAACCACCATGACCTGCCCAGTTAGGAATTTATGGTTAGATCACCCTGTGAGGTTACTTTTCATAGAAACCCTTTTTCATCTACACATCCCAGAACTGAAGAACATGAGTTTTCCAATTTAAAAGGGCCTACTCAATACCCAGAATTTTTTATCATAAAATAAATAACAAGGCACTTCTGATCTATTAAAATACTTGGGATAAAGATTTCAAAGGTTTCCAGAAAAGAAAAACATGTTACAACAGATTAGAAATTGGAAAGTCTTTAAATTTCTTAATAGCAACACTGGAAGCTAGAAGGTAATATAAAGCAACTCCTTTAAAATTTTTGGGGAAAATAACTAATCACCTATAATTTTCCACCAAAAGTGATAGCAAATAATTGTCCAATGCAGCCTTTTTTTCCTCAGGAAAATGGAATAGATTACCAGGAGGAATGGAACCAAGAAGGATTTGAGATCCGAGAAACAGAAGAGAAAGGCACAGGAATTTTTCAGAACAGCAGCTATGCGGATTTTAAAAACAAGTTGTCCAGATAAACATAGAAGAACAAAGGGCTCCAGGAGAGTTATCTCCAAGAAAAGGGGAGGGGGAAGGCAGAGAATAACAGATTGTTTCAGGGGTCAACAAACTTTTCCTATAAAGCGCTAGATAAATATTTAATTTTTTAATTGAATTTATTAGGGTGACACTGGTTAATAAAATTATATAGGTTTCAGGTATACTATTCTATAACACATCATCGGTATACTATATTTTCACCACCCCAAGTCAAGTCTCTTTCCATCACCATTTATCACCCCTATACTCTCTTCTACCTCCCCCAAGACAGTAAAAATTTTAAGCTTTGAAAACCATGCAGTCTCTGTTACAACTACTCAATTCTATTACTGTAGCACAAAAGCAACCATAGACAATAAGCAAATGAATGGGCATGGTTGTGTTCCATTGAAACTTTATTTACAAAAACCAATACAAAACAAAACAAAGAGAGAGAAGAATTGGGCCCCTGACCCATATTTTACCTGGACCCTTCCCACTCCTCCTCCAGCACTGCTTGGCATGTTTGACCAATGAAAGCAGTGGCATCTCTGGTAAGGATAATTTAGGTAGATTACATTAAAACCTAAGCAAAGAATTAAGCACATATCTCCTAGCTAAAACAAAAAGCCTGGCCCATTAAAAAGTATAAAAAATTAGACATCATCAAAATTTAAAACTCTAGTCTTGGAATAATATTTGTAAGAAAATAATAAATACATAGTAAATATAGTGAGTTATCACTTATAAAGCTAGTAGGAAGATTAAAAAACAAAGTAGTAAAAATAACCGTAACTAC